TGGGGGGGGGGGGGGGACAACTTTATGGACTTGCCTCTCCTCTTCCACCTCCACATGGGTTCTGGGGATTGAAGTCTAGTTGCCAGGCTTTTGTAGCAAGAGCCTTTTCCTGATGAGCCACCTTGACAGCCCCCAAGAAGTTTTAAGGGAAAGGAAAACTCCCACAGAGAAAGTGGGGAGAGAGTGGACGTAAGATCTGGATGTGTGTATCAGCAGGTTCTTAGAAATTATCTTGTGTGACTTCTTCAAAAGTGAGAGGGTTCAAGGTAACCAATGGAACCTACTAAAATGTCACAGTTTAATTAGCATCACAGCTCATCACAACACAACACAACACAACACAACTGTGCTTTCCATGACAGCATGCATAAGACAACTTGCAGAAGAGAAGAAAGAATAGGGGCCAATCAGTAATCAGATGGAAGGTTTGCCTTCAAGACAAGAAATCTCTGAATTAGAGTGGGCAAGAAATGTACTGGGCTGCAAGAAAAAGATTTACACACTGAGTGTGTGTGTGTGTGTGTGTGTGTGTGTGTGTGTGTGTGTGTGATCAGTAGTATAATAATATATATATATTACTTACATTAAATATGAAGTGAACTGTGATGAATATTCATGTTTTTTTCTGATGGCATAAAAACTTACAGACTATTATATACAACTGTAAGCACCATCTTCACAAAACCCTTAAAAAGGCAATGGAGAGCCAGGTACAGTGGCACACACCTGTAACACCAGCCACTCAGGAGGTTGAGTTGGGAGGATTGTGAGTTCAAAGCCAGCCTTAGCAAGACCTTGTCTAAAAAACAAAAGCAATGAAATAATAGAAAGAAGTAGACCTAGCACTCAGACAGGAACATACTTAAATTCCAAGCCTCGCTTCTCAGGCATTCCACTACCCATGTGAAATGGAGATGATGGCATTTATAGTTTTGGCTTATTCTGAGGAATGGGTAAAACACACAGGGTCCCAATGGTACTACCTTGCATGTTAAGCTCTACAAGGACTTCTTGTGGACATTTCTGCCAATAAAGAATGACCCTTTCTTCATTGCTGTTACACAATACACCCAGGAAATACATGAGCATCCAGCTTTCCAGGGCCGTGAAATCTGAGTACCTGCCAGCACCTAAGAGCCATGAGTAGATCCTCCACTCTCCTCCTTGTTGGCAGAAGAGTGTGATACTGTGTGAGGTTGCTATCTTAACGAAAGTCACAGGAGGAAGGAGTCAATATCCCTGGGTTCAAAGAGAGACCTAGTGTGTGCCATGTCCTGGCTTGTGTGGGACAGCTCTATTTCCTGCATCGTGCCTGACACTGCTGTTGCTCTGCTGACTGGTAAAGTGTAAATGGTTGACTTTCAAATCCTTTTGCACAGAATTAGCTCTCCCAAGACTTAACAAAACTCCTATTCCCCGTACTTATGGAATCGTGATCCCTGAGTTGTACACTCCACCCCCCAGGACCCTCTATTAGTGTATTCATCAGGGTCTGACCTGAAAGCCCACTCATAGTCCCAACACAGTACCTGCTTGAGACAGAAAGAATTCCTTTGTGTTTCAAGTCCAGAGAAGTGTCCCTGAAATCGACCTCAAATATTTCCAATGTGGCATTTGTGCTAAAGGAAGCATCTAGTTGCTGGGCAGATGTTCCTAGTCACAAGAAAAGCAAGGAAGAGGCAGCAAATGAACAACAATGCATGCGTGCATTTAGGACATAAGTACAGCAGTGAGTGGAAAGCAAACAGCAGGAGAGAGTTAGGAGTACTCGTCCTCAAGAGGTAACCCCAAGGAAAGCATGAGGGGTCACCCTTAAGCCATGGTCCAAGGTGGTTACCAGGTACCCAACCTGACAATCCTACAGCTTCCCCTCCTGCTGGTTAAAGACTTGTAGATACTAAATTTTCCTTTGACATACGACTTCCAGTGGCTCCTGATTCAAATTATCGTCATACCTGTGGCCAGATACACAGGGTACTGGCTAGCTGGGCTCCACGCTTGTACAGCTGGCCTCTCAAGTTCCTTCAACTTCATGGTCTGTTCTGTAGGTTGCAGAAAACATGTATAGTCCTTGGCTCACTGAAAATAGAAACCAAAAATCTTAGGGCCAGAGATCCAGGGAGCATCTGAGGACACAGGCATTGTCTCTCTTCTCCACAAGATGAAGGATTTCCACAAAATGCAGAATGAGAAAAAAAGATCATCTTCAGAGTTAAGGGCAGTTCATATTTATACAACTGCTAAAATTGAATTATCTAAACTCCCAAGGTATTTAATCACACTGGTTACCACAGGTCCAATGAAACCAGATAATTAGAAATTAGATAACCATCAAACTAGATAATTTCTCAGTGGCTTTGCCTGATTTCCTTGGCTTTAAACATTGTCTATGAGCCAATGAACCCCATATTTATTTTATTGACATACAACTGTCCTCAGAGCACCAATTTCTATATGAAACTGCTAATTAGATGTTTCTACTTGTAATGCATATCTATAATCCTAGCACTCAAGGGCCCAAGGCTACAGTAGGTCATAAGTTCAGGCAAGCCTGGGCTACATATACAGTAAGACCTTATCTTAAAAAAAATACACTCATACCGGGCATTGGTGGCACATGTCTTCAATCCCAGCACTCAGGAGGCAGAGGCAGGCGGATCTCTGTGAGTTCGAGGCCAGCCTGGTCTCCAGAGAGAGTGCCAGGATAGGCTCCAAAGCTACACAGAGAAACACTGTCTCAAAAAAGCAAAAAAAAATATACACTCACAGATATACAGATATAGCAAAGATACCTAAGTCATCTGGCTACAAAAGGACTTTCCTACTATGTCTTCCTTACACTCTTCCGTTCATTCAACTTTCTTCATCATGACAAATGGCATTTCTACCTACCCAGTCTCTCAATCCAGAAACCTGAAAATCACCCTCCATTTCTCTGTCTCTCTTTTCTAATTCACCATTTCATCTCCCTGATTTTAGTGCCCTTTTCTCTACACCCACTGCCACCAGCCTATCTGAAGGTATTATAATCTTTCACCTGTATTACTACAAAAATACGGGCTTCGGCTGACCACTACATCTTACTGGTTTTCCTCTTAGGCATTGTATGCCAGCCACATGAGTCTTTTTTTCATCTCATGGCTTTTGCCTACACTGGAGCCTTTGCAAATACTGCTTCCCATATATTGTAGGCTCTTCCCTTTACTCTCCATGGCTAATTCTTTATCAAATCTTTCTGGGTGAGTATATAACATCTTCAGAGGTGACCTGCCCAACCCAAACCAGTCTCACTTGTTTTCTTTCTAACAATTTATTTGTTTACAGTCAGTCTCTTCCACTAACAGCTTCATAAAAGCTAGCATCCTGTCTTGCTATGTTCTAACTACTGCTCAAGCATATGACTAATACAGAGTAAGTGCTTGGTATCTAATGAACAAATGAACAAATGAATGAATATAAATATTCATTTTCCTTTTGTTTTGTCTCATCTTTTCAATATTTATTTTATGTGTATGAGTGTCTTGCCTGCCTGTATGTCTGTGTACCGCAGAGGTGGGTGCCTAATGGCTTCAGAGGTCAGAAGAGTGTCAGGTCCCCTGGAACAGGAGCTACAGACAGGAGCTACCATGTGGGTGTTGGGACCCCCCATCATCTGCAAGAGCAGTATGCTGCTGGCCCTACTCACAGGGCAATCTTTTCTTCTTTGGGGCACAGTCTCACATAGCCCAGACTACCCTCAAATTTGCTATGTAACTGAGAATAGTACTGAAGAATTGGTCCTCCTGCCTCTAATTCCCATGGATTACAGGTGTGAACCACCACACCGCATTCATTCATCTCTGTGATATCCACTTCTAATGTACGTTCAGGGTCTCTCCTCACAGGCTAGCAAAAGGTACAGGGGGAACACAGCGCCTACTGTGATCTGCTTGAGCAAGACAGCCAGCCCCGCCCCGCCTATAAAACAGGAGATAACATCACTTAATCTCTACTTTCCAGCTAGAAGAAGGCTTAAAGCTGCCAGTTAAGCTTTTTCTGGGAACTTCTAAACACTTGGAGCTCTGCTTTGTCTTTTGACCAGCAAACTATACTAGTGCGTCACCAGTGCCGCCTGCTGGTCAAGCCATTCGGTACAGAAGAGCAGCGACCTCCAACAGCACGTTTGACAGGCACAACCCATTAGTTTCCCTATAAACTGTCATCCTCATTCTACACAGAAACCGGCCAACCCGCGATGTAAGCCCCGTGCTTTTTAACCATTATATTAATTTAAGCAAAGCGTCGTGGCATGCTTAAACCGTTGGCTGAAGGAGCGGAGGGCGTGCGCTTTCCATGCAGTCAGCTCTAAGGGAGTTAGCATCAGTTTATAAAGGCCCGCTAGGGTCAGCCCGGCTGGGGCAGCGGAGGGATGGGAAGGGGTCGGTGACGAATGGCCAGGGCGCCGAGGCTGGGGCCAGCTCAGGGCCCGGGGTGGCCGGGGAGCGGGACCAGGTTTCCTCGGAGGGATGCGCGGTGGCCTGGGCGGGGTCTCGCGCCGAGCGGTGCTCGGGGCCCCAGACCCGCCGGGAAACCCACCTGTGCCGAGCGCCCGGGCCAGGGGTCACGGCCAAGCGAAGGGCTCCGGGGCGCATCGCCCTGAGGACGGCAGCCACAGAGGGCCAAAAATAACCTCGCTTTGGCAGCGCCCCGCGACCCGCTCCCTCCTCTTTCCCAGCAGAGCTGGGTAACGGGAACACTCACACTGACAGTGCAGAGGGTTCCCAGCACGGCTGCCTCACTTGCTCTGTGATTGCACAGTTCTGGCGCCCACATCAGTAAATTCTAGTCTACGTTATTTGAGCCGGGCTCCACGGATAGCCTAGGCACGGAAAGGGAAAACATTAATTCAATTTATTATGTAGTTATTAAAGCGAGGGAAGACCTGACCCTTAGCCCATGAGCTCTCGGTGTGATCCATTTAGTTAAAAAAGATAAAAAGCAATCGAGGCTGTAAATAGCAGTGATATACACAGAAGCCCACTAGTAGCGGTGTCCACAAATTGATTAAGAGCTGTGTGTGGAAAGAGAGACGACTATGGACCAGAGGCTTCATGGAAGATTTCAAGCACATTCCAGGGACACGGGCATTAATTACTCCTTGGAGCTGAAAGAACACTAGGTGATTCAACAAAACGGGGCAAGGTGTCTAGGAGTCCTGACATTTCCCACCCCATAAATCAAAGAGACTGGGCGAGAATGGGTGCCGATAGATTGTGGAATACCAGTTAACTCTGCAGTTAATAGGGAGTTATTGAAAATTTGGGGCCAGAGGCACTAGTGACCACTGTATTTTGCATCTGGCAGTATGAATCCCTTGGAGAGAGAAAAGCTGGAGGCAGAGATATGATTTTATGATTTATTAAAGCTTTCCTGAGAATTCAGAAAAGTAAAGTCAGCCTCAAGCTATAGAGATCAGGCAGTGGTGACACACATCCTAGGACTCAGGATTAAGAGGTAGGCAGACCTCTGTGAGTCCATGGCCACCCACATCTGCACAAGAGTGAATCAGTCTAAAAGAGAATGATAGCTCACACCTTTAATCCCATATTAAAGGAGGATACAAGACAGACATTCTCCAGCCGCACTGAGGAGAGGCAGCAGTTTGAGACTTGGTGAAGGGCTCCTACATGCATCAGCCCTTTCAGCCTGAGCTAGAGGTGAGAGTTAGTGGCCAGCTGCTTTGCATTTCTGATCTTCAGCTTGAAGCTTGAATCCCAAAATCAGTCTCTGGGCCATTTATTTATTTGTGTTACAGAGATCCATTCAGAAGAGGAATAGAACAGCCCAAGGCCAGTGAAGAAAGCCTGGATTAACAGTGGTGACTGAAGGAGAGCTGGACTGGGTCTCCTGACTGATGAAGATAAGGGTTCAAGACTGCTGTTGGTTTTAGAGCAGTTCTCAAGCTGTGGGCTGAACGATCCTTTCACAGGGGTCGCTAAGACCATCAGAAAACATGGATGTTTACATTATAATCCATAACAGTAGCAAAATTACAGTTATGGAGCAGCAACAAAAATAATTTTATAGTTGTGGGTTACCACAACATGAGGCAACTGTGTTAAAGGTCACAGCATTAGGAAGGTTGAGAACTGTTCTAGAGTCAGATACTGTGGCACTGTTTTTTGTTTTTGTTTTTTTGTTTGTTTTTTGTTTTTTGTTTTGGTTTTTGGTTTTTGGTTTTCCGAGACAGGGTTTCTCTGTGGCTTTGGAGGCTGTCCTGGAACTAGCTTTTGTAGACCAGGCTGGTCTCAAACTCACAGAGATCAACCGGCCTCTGCCTCCCGAGTGCTGGGATTAAAGGAGTGTGCCACCAATGTCCGGCTACTGTGTGGCACTGTTAACAGAGCCAGAGATTTTGAGGAAGAGAAGAGAGTGGAGCTATCATGTATGCTTTTCAAGAGAAGGTAGAGGCAGAAGGATGGAAAGTTCAGGGTCATTTCAGCTACACAGTCAGGCAGTTCAAGGACACCTGGATTATGTTTGACACACAATCTCTCTCTCTCTCTCTCTCTCTCTCTCTCTCTCTCTCTCTCTCTCTCTCACACACACACACACACACACACACAAGCTGAACCTTAGCCAATACCCTAAAATTAGGGAATAAAACAGAAGACTCAATCATACTGATGGAGTACTAAAAGAACTCTGAACTAAAGTCATAAGGTATAATTCTCAGCACCCACACTGTAGTCCCAGAGCATCCAATGCCAATCTTCTGGTGGTACAAGCTATGTACATGCAAGGAAACCACATACATAAAAGTATATAAATAAATGAAAACTAAAAACTAAGACACGATTAAAGAAAAGAGCACATCTTTTTAAAAAAATCTTTTAAGAATGACATTTATTGTGTGCATATGTGTATATGCACACATGCTACGGCACATATGTGAAGGTCAGAGGACAACTTGTAGGAATTGATTCTCTCCTCTCACAACATATGGCCTAGAGATTGAACTCAGGTTGTCAGCAAACACCTTTACCCACTGAACCATCTCAATCAATCTAAGAAGTCTTCAAAAAGTGAATTTTCAGTAAAGCACTGTTACCTAATTTTACAAGGTTCTCTTTAACTACCCAGACAACCACTGACATCCCCCTTCTAACTTGAGTGGTGTTTGAATAAGAATGGCTCATGCGGCTGGGCGTTGGTGGCGCACGCCTTTAATCCCAGCACTCAGGAGGCGGAGGCAGGCGGATCTCTGTGATTTCGAGGCGAGCCTGGTCTCCAGGGTGAGTGCCAGGATAGGCTCCAAAGCTATACAGAGAAACTCTGTCTGAGGGGCGGGGGGGAGGTTCATGCATTTGAATGCTTAGTCACCAGAGTGGCACTCCTTGAAAGGATTAGAAGGACTAGAGATGTGCTTTTGTTGAAGGAAATATGTCGTGGTGGCGTGAAGAGGTGTGGCCCCCATAGACCCATATTGTAAGACCCCCGGAAAGTTCAGGCTTCCAGGATCTTAGCCCAGGACTGCGGCCACCCCAATCACAGAATGGAGGCAAAAGCTTGATGCAAACTGCATGAGGCTATATTGTAGTTTAACGAGCTAACCCCATGTTAGCTCGGGTCTTTCTTTGATCCACCCGCCATGGCGGCTGGCTCGCAAAGACAGTTCGAAGCCCCTGCGTACAGATCTTTATAGGGCAGCGTAAGGGGAGTGTCTAGGGGTACGCACAGGCTCAGGATTGGTGTGCCTCCAGCCTTGGAAGGTTTGCCCTGTGTTGATTGGTTGTTATGGCCCATAGGCCCTTCCAGGGCGGTTGCTATGCTCTGTGTGCATCATTGCTGTGCGCTTGTCCGTAAAGCACACCCAGAACCATAAAGCACAGCACCACCAGCTAACTTCTGATTGGTTCCTTGCCACAAGGCAGGCATCTGACCTCTAAGAGACCAAGGCAAGGTTATGGCAAGCACGTGTTCGACTGTTATGGCTGCCGAAATGGGGAGCTGGCCCCTTCAATGTGTTTGAATGCTTTGCCCATAGGGAGTGGCATTATTGGGTGTGGCCTTGTTGGAAGAAGTATGTTACAGTGTGGTCAGGTTTTGAGGTCTCACTCATATGTTCAAGCAACGTTCAGTGTGGTACACAGTTCATGCCCTGTAGACCCAAATGTAGAACTCTCAGCTACCTCCTCAGCACCATGTCTGCCTGCATGCTGCCATGCTTCCTGGCATGACAATAATGAACTGAACCTCTGAACTGTAAGTTAGCCCCAAATAGAGTTGCTGTGGTCAGGATATCCCTTCACAGCAATAGAAACCCAAACTTAGACGTGTCCATTGGAGTCGGTTTTGAGGCTTCAGAACTCCATCCCAGGTCCAGCCAGTCTCTCTCTCCTCCCTGTAGAGCAGGAAGTAGCTCTCCACTGCTTCTCCAGCACCATGCCTGCCCGCTCCCCACTATGACAGACTAGTCCTCTGAAGCTGCAAGCCCCACCTAAATCGATCTCTCTCTTCCTCTCCCTCTTTTTTCTTTGAGACAGGGTTTGTCCTGGAACTAGTTCTGTAGACCAAGCTGGTCTTGAACTCACAGAGATCCGCCTGCCTCTGCCTCCCGAGTGCTGGGATTAAAGGCTACCAACGCCCAGCTAAATGCTTTCTTTTATGAGTTCCCTTGCTGTGGTATTTCCTCACAGCAACAGAACAGTGACTAAGTCAACTGTGTTTATTTGTACAGATCATAGGAGATACGGGCTTTCTTATGAGTCAGGTTCCCATGTGAGATAAGGTTAAGAAAATATTCTACTTTTAATCTCAGCCAGGGCGACACAGACTGTCAAAAAAATTAAAATAAAAAAAAAAGATAAAACCCCAAACAGAGTGTATGTTGGCTCACCTGAAAAAGCAGATGCATTGACATAGGAAGTCACTGGTCACTGGGAAAACTCCTTGTTGGGCATTGTACTCAGCTGTCTTTGGATATCCCTCCTAACACACTATAATTTTTAAAACGTAGAGATGACACAGCATTTCTTTTATTTGCCAGAGTTTCAAACACGAACCACATTTCCTTCTGTCGATCGTTCTCCTCCTTTAACAAACGTGTGTGGTTTGCCTTGAAGCCCATACCCCCCAGACTCTTCAGTGGTCACACAACTCATGTCTACTTGATGTGCCTTACTGCTTAGTCCACAAGACCGCAAATTCGGCTACTTTGTAGATTATCCAGTGACCACCCTGACGACAGTTATTGCTTTCTTATAACTTTTGCTCTGATCACTATACATTTTAATCCTTTTTAAAAAATTTTTTGAAAAACTGTGCTTTGGTTTTATGAGACAGGGTCTTAGTATGTAGCCTTGGTTGTCCTGAAACTCGTTTAGTAGACAGGCTGGCTTCTAACTCAGAGATCCACCTGCCTCTGGCCCCCAGGTACTGGAATTAAAAGCATGTGCCACCACATCCAGCTTTATTATTTTTTAATGAGTGTTTGCCTGAATGTCTGATACCACAGGTAGTATCCCCGGAGGCTACAAGATGATTCAGAACCCCTGGGACCGATGGTTGTGAACCACCATGTGGGTTCTGGGAACCGAACCCAGGTCTTCTGGAAGAGCAGTCATTGCTCTTAAACATTAAGACATCTTTTCCTACTTTAAGTTCTTGAGACAGCATCTCATTATGTAGCCCTGGCTGATCTAGAGCTCAGAGGTCTGCCTGCCTCTGTCTTGTGAGTCCTGGGATTAAAGCCATGTGACTAATCACCTCAGATTTGAGAACTTTAGACTGTGTCACCTTCAAATGACATTTCGAAGTCAGGGTTGGGGTAGTTCTCAGTAACACATGTTCCTTTTAGGCAAAATGGTCATGACGTCCTTGCATATTCTTTGGTGATGTATGCATATAATTTTTATCTGTGGTTGACAAGGTATGCTTTAAGAAAATTTTAAGAAGAAAATTTAAATAGAAAATGAATTATGATAGACTCTTGAAAAATGTGGCTTTCTTCTAAGGCTGTTACAGAAGCTTGAATTCATCCCAGAATTCACACTATTGGCAATGTTAGCTTATTAAGAAGCTGTTTCAGAAAACTTGCTTTGAAAGGAGGAATGCAGAAATGCCAGTGTCAGAGTAGTCCACCCTCACTACTCCAGCATCTACCTGAAACACATTACTTTCTTTTAAAACCTACTTACCATTGAAGTTCAAATAAATGGTCTTTGTTTGGAAACAGTCTTACTATCCTTACTCATAAGCAGTAAGGCACATCAAGTAGACATGAGTAAGGATAGTAAGGATAGCCTCAAACTCACTACACAGCCTAAGATTAGTCCTGAACTCACAGAGATCCTCCAGCCTCAGCTTCACAAGCGCTGAGGTCAGATGTATGCACCACATGTCTTTTAAACTAAAAACTATTAATTAAAGTTTCGGGTTGTTTTGATTTTTATAGCCTCTCTAAGTAGCCCAGGCTTGCCTCAAACTTGCATAATCCTGCCTCAGCTTCCTGCATTATAGATATGCTCCACAAAAATGGTTTTTAAAGGAAACAGAAAATTGTTCCAAATTGGGAAGTCCTTCCTTCTCCAGTCCTGTAAACAAGAAAAGGACTGGCCCTCTACTACCTGCTATGCAACCTGCAGCTCGCAACCACCTTCACAGCCCAGTGGAATGAACTAGTATCTTCTTCTGCTTATTTCCTAATTTCCTGCCCATCCTTCCCATTTCAGAGCAGGCAGGCAGCAGGTAGAGGGAAAACACGAGGGTGAGGCTCTCACAGCAGTGACTATTCCTGGGGAAATAAGGCACAGGAACCATGGTACTGAGTTTTATTAGTGGTTTCATTAAGGTTAACCCTCTAGGAATGAGGGCACAAAAGCCCACGTGGCCTCCTCAGATCTCATAGTGAACCACCTGCTCGGGTTCTTTGGTAGGATCACCGCCTCGTTCCAGGTACAGATTGTTGTAAGGGTATTGCTTCGGCCCCTAAGGAAGAAAACAAAAACCAAACCCATACAGGTCAGCAAGAACAACAGTCATCCAGCCAATCCCAGACTACACCCTACTCCAGTTAACAATCATGCAGAGCAAATGGGTATACAGTAGCCTCTGGTCAGACCCAGCTGAGCTAAAATGGCAGAAGCAAGACTCCTTGCCCCTGCTCAACCCACAGCAGAGAAACAGCCTAAATTGTAAGAGAAGTGGTGCCTGCCCTGCAAGTGAGAAGTGGGGAGGGGGAGTCCGAGCCAAAGCTTTCTAAATGAGACGATGCAACCATCCATCCCATTCTCTCTCGGGGTCGAGACAGACTCAATCTCCTTTAAGTCACTCAGCCTCTAATGGTTCCACCACTAAAGTGGCCTAGCAAATGAGGCGTGCAGGAGCAGCGGTGGGGGAAAGCACAGAGGAGACACGGCTGGGATGTGCTTTAGGAGCTGCTGGCTTTACCAACAAACAGCTGCCAGAGAACACAGCTCAAAGGGAGGAGAAAAGGGTGATGTGCTTACAGAATTGAAAAATGGAAGAGCTACACTGTTTCCTGCTCTCCTGAAGTGAAGTTAGTGCTCACCACTGCCCCACATGCTCTCCAGCAGAGAGTCCCTGGGGCTTGGCAAGAAGTCTCGTGTCAGTGCACACGGCCGTCCCAGCTACCTTCAGGGTATTATCTCTGCAGAGGTAGCACTGGGCAGCTGACTGCAAACACTGCTGCTTCCCTGCCTGTGGGCCCCTTGCCAGCACTCTGGAGACTACTCCCAGATCAAACTTCCTAAGAAGCTGGCCCTCATCATGTCAGCCTTCTAGTCAAAGCCCAAATAGCTCCCTGGTACTAAAGGCAGTCCCAGACACCCCATGGCACAGTCTACATCTGGTACATAGTGGAGGTCGTATAAATAATTGTTCAGTTAATACACCACTATGCCATAAAGTCCAAATCCTCAGTTATGCAATAAAAGCTGCCCAATGGAACCAATCAATTCACCTCACAATGTTTTTAGTATCATGATCTTCAATTCTAGATGCATTTTATAATTATCTAGAGACTGTTGAAAATATTGACTCTAGAACCCTATTGTTGAGCCATAGAATTAGGACTCCAAGAACCAGGTCTGAGGGATATGAATGTATTGTAGTTCTCTAGGAAACCCATAGAGCTGGCTATCTAGGAACTGTTTTCTATAATGGCTGCTTGAAATCTTTCAATATTTTAAAATTACATTTACTTATTTAATATCTAGGTGTGTGTGCACACTCTTGCCATGGCACTCATGCAAAAGTCAGAGGGCAACTCACATTAGTCAGTTGGCTCCCTTTTCCCATGGGGGTCCCAGGGATTGAACTCAGGTCAATAGGCTTGGCGGCATTTCACCGGCCCTATTTTTATATATCACCTAACTCACCATCCTCCCCACTCCTACAGTTCTCACCTGTCTCTCACCGTTTCTCTGATTTCCCTACCACCCAAATCCTATTGTTTTAGCCTCTGGTTTTAATCCTACTCCCTTGCAGCAGCTTGCCCCACTCTGTACATTACTACAGGCATCCATATACAAACCATGCCAGGCTCTCATATATATGTTCAAATGACACTCATTATGTCATTATCTAAAATTTCTTAAAATGTCCTTTACGCTGGGAAACATATTTTCTATGTTCTTTAAATTCCTTGAAACATGACTGTCTATGCTTACTATAGACAACTGTTCCAGTACCCTGCAGAAAGTGCAGGACAAGGTTTCAGCTCTAGATATTGTGACTCTGCCTTGAAAGGCCATTCACGATAATATACCTGGAAACTCTGAACATGAGCTTCCATATCCTCATCCACTATTTAGAGAAGTCTGTCTTTTCAACTAGACTGGTCCACGGTGTGGCAGAGGTGGAGCAGTGCTCTGAGGTTTGTGCTGGGCTGCTAGGGAAGGCCTTTCATTTTCCTATTTTCTAAAATTCTGGGAAGCCAAACTTGGTATTGGCTAGTTTCCTACTCCAGCGACTTCACTCCCTCAGGAAAGGAGGCAAAGCAAATATGCTTTGGGGAACTCATAAAATACTCACCACAGGCTGGTAGGAAGGGAAAATCGCCCCAACCCAGAACATGAAAGCCATGAAGGCCACGAAGCCGAAGAGATGTTTACACATGACATGCCAAGAAACAGGTGTAGGGGATGTATCCACACGGTTCCTGATATACATGTCTAGGTCCCAGTGCATCTGTGGCAGAAAGGCATATAACCATCACAAACTACTCTTCCTGCAATAAACAGGTGTGCTGGCTAGTTTTATGTCAACTTGAAACAACCCAGAGTTATCTGAATGAGGGGAACCTCAAATGAGAAAATGCCTCCATAAGATCCAGCTGTAAGGCATTTCCTTAATTAGTGACTGATGTGGGAGGGCCCAGCCCATTGTAGGTGGGACCACTCCTGGGCTGGTGGTCCTGGGTTCTGTGAGAAAGCAGGCTGAGCAAGCCAGTAAGCAGCTCCCTTCCATGGCCTCTGCATAAGCTCCTGCCTCCAGGATCCTGCCCAGTTTGAGTTCCTGTCCTGACTTACTTTGATGATGAACAGTGCTAAGGAAGTGTAAGCCAAATAAACGCTTTCCTTCCCAACTTGCTTTTTGGTCATGCCTTTTCATTATAGCAATAGAAACCCTAACTAAGACAGCAGACAATCTAGAATGCCCAGAGCCTGATACAAGGCTTAACAGAACCATTCCACTCCCTGGGGACAATATTCTGAGAGCCAGGCCCAAGACACAACCAGCAAAGATGAATTCTGGTTTCACCGAAGCTAGCTCAAGCATGACGTGCACGATGCTCACAGGACACGGGATTCTGGGTACCCTGCGAGTTCATCCCGTGTGCCACAGGTAGAACTCTGGGTCTCACAACATTGGACATTGCTTCTTTGAGCAGAAAAACTTAGCAAAAAAGTACTATATAAACTAAAGAGAGTCCCAAGAAAACAGAAGGAAACAGAAAGAAAGGAAAAATGGGCAATGGCTTTCTCACCGTTTCACCCCAGTTCAACCTCAGGTCTGAGTGGTCCCACTCATACCATGGATCCCTCTCCTGCTGGGATCGGTCAGGGAGCTTCGGGTAGTCACCGTGCCTGAAAGACAGACATTGAGAACTTCTGGAAAGGGCTGTGAGCAGTCGCTGACAATTCAAAGCCCTCCTCTCAAAGAGTAGAATATAATGACTTCATTTAAGGATAGAAGAACCTACCCCAAATCAACATCTCAAGTTCTAGGACTAATAAAAGAACAAAAAAGTTCAAACTATAATCAGAGGCTGTGTTGAATTCTGAAACAACACGTCCTTATCTTCTTACAAAGAAAAGTCAGACAACTCTATATTTGGACTAAAAGGGAATTTTAGCAATCAATTATCCCATTCCTTCATCAGACAGGTTCTAAATACAAAGCCATCCACGTCTGTTGGAATAAAAACAAAAAAAGGGGTACACATTAGAAAAGGCCTTTTTCCCTCCACAGCTACCGTGGGGCTTCTTAGTCACAAGTTGATGCACACCCTCTTGCTTCAGACGCCTCATGGGAGGTCTTGCTTAGCGGGGGTTCTCCCCCAACAAGTCCAAGTTTACCTTATAGAGACTACCACCCAGAGTGTTCCTGTCCACAAAACAGCTAAACAAACAAACAAAACAGAAAATGATGGCAACTGGGACACATGTCAAAGCAACTGACTGGAGAGAAGAACAAGAAAGAGGTGCCGACAGGAGAAACTCTAACACAGGAAGTGAGGGTGATGTTTAACCACTGTACATAGTTAAGCAAGCTACTTGGATACAGGGGCAAAAGGGACTGACACCAACCGGAGAATGAATGTTGACGTTTAACTTGCTTAACGGTTGATGCGATTTTCACACACCTAAGGTCAAACAAAAAAGGGGGGGTGGTGGTGGTGGGGTGGGGACAAATTTTTGAAGAGACCTATACAGAGTGTACACCATCGTCTGTGACAGGAGCACAGCTCCAGCGCGGTCACGTGCCCAGATGACGGCACCTGAGCCCCGCAGATGCTCCATCTAAATGAAATCCAGTGCTCTGGATGGAGCCAGGGA